GCTAGAGCAAAGCATCAGTGGCAGGGGTTACCTACCATCAATGATTTGCTTCATAAAGATCAGAAGGCCTTTTCAGTATTCAGGGTCACTATTGACCTGTGCCAGCCCCCCTTCGCCCCTCTATTACGCCCCAGTTATATCTTGGTGAGCCCACACAAAGGGATCCCCCACAAAAACCTTGATCCTAACAATGGAGGATATAAGCTTAACGAGAAGTGTCGTGCACTCAGATACTCGGACCACAGAGGAGTGAGGCATTGTGTATATGCAATGCAAAGTGTTATGAGTAAATACAAACATTTGCGGCAGAATAGGCAACTAAAATATCCAAGTCTTGAAATCCTCAAGGACAAATCCTGTCTTGCAGTGTCAACAATTTCTTTAAAGCATTCCTGGATGTGGATTTCATCAACTTCGTTACCAGCCAATCAAATCAACTGTCATCAATTTACCAAAAGAAACATTCAACTATACTGTTTTGAGTTAGATCAACGGGGCAAAAAAAGGAACAAAATTGATTATTCAAAGCAGCCCAGAGCTTTACTTGTGTACTACTGCAGAATGACATACAGCCAAATATGTATATATACCTATATACATACAACTTACCTTAAATAATCTGTCTACTGCCTTGTAAAAAAAAGAAAAAAAAAGTTTTGTCTACAGATAGAATACCTGACACTTAAGTCTCCTTTGGGGCAAAGCTAAAATACATGCTAACCCTCAATTTTTTAATTTTCAGTCTTGACAGTATCTAGAAAAAGAAAGCTATTTCATTAACTAGCAATATAATTGACATACAAAACCACATTATACAGTGTTTTCTGCAATATATATTTACATAAATTAGATAACATAAAAAAATTACGGAGTACAAAATGGATGGATGGATGGCTTTATGTCATGTGGTTTTACGTTGCTTGAGTCATGGCTATTTGCCATATATAACCCCCCAAAAACTGCAGGTAGCCCTTTAGAAGAGGACACATCTATTGTGCTGGTGCACTCAACAGGGCAGAACAGTTTGGGATTTTGGCCAGAGATTTTTAAAGAAATATGAGAGGGCAACCTCCTGCAATCAGCCAGTGTTGGTGACCACTCATGTGCAAAGCCACAGCTGTTGTAGCTGTGAGCTGCTCCTCAAAATGATGCCTGTGGGTGAAGTTAGAAATTGAAATGCCTTAAGATTTCAGATCAGGCTTGGGCATTAATTGGTCCTTGGTTGGGGATTAATTCAAATTAAAACCATCATTTAATCTTGTGGTGGAGAACTTCACCCTCTGATGACAAAATATTGGTTCTAACAGCTGAGCCGAATGTTTTGAAGCAGTTTTGAGTTTCAAGACTTAGTTTGTGTTTGTCAAAGTTATATTTAGGTTGGACAAAACAAATATATAGAGAGAGTAATATATAGCCTATATACAGTATAAGTCGAACAAAACAATTAAAACACGTTTCACAACAAATTCATATCTGAACCTCACCTCAGGCTAGGCTTATATATATATTACATACTGTATATATACATGAATATGTATATATGTATATGTATATACATATATATCCTCTCAATCCTCTCTCTTTCGCTCTTTCTCTCTCTGTATCTCAATCTCACACTTCTCTCTGCTGTGGATAATCTTAATTCTTAATTGGTTAAAAATAATTTCTGTTATGAAAATGTATTTTTAAAAGACAAACAAACAAAACAACTGCATCTCAGCGTTTAATCTTTATGAAAACCCGTGATTCGTCAAAATAAAAGCGTGTAGAGTGCAAGTGTAGTAGGCAGTGGGCAACTACTGCCCTCTACGTGTTAAACAGGTTACTACAGTGCCTGGACTTAGATTCTGCAATGTTGGAGCCAAAAAACGCTCCTAAAAATTCTGTCATGAAACAAACTATTACATAACATTTATAACCTTAAAAACACTTGATGAAATGATCTCTACAGTCATCCAGTTACAGAGTGAACACCGTGCAGTTAACTGTGTCTGTCAGTGACACACTGTTAAAGGCCTTTGGACACACAGACGTACACTAAAAACCCCCCTTTATACAGCCCTGAAGCGGGGCCCAGGCTCCCTGTTGCCCCTCTGTCTCCCCAGGCTGGTCCTCCCATTCATGTGGCTCATTTGAATTCCCACATGGAAGACCTCTGATGAGCCGGGGGTGAACTGTTACACTGCACGACAAGACTGCTAATTAATCACACAAACTGTACGCAACCTGCTGTTGACTTATAGACAAAGTTGACCTCTGTTGTAAAAAAAAAAAAAAGTTCAGTCTAAAGTCTGGATTCACTGTGACAAGCGTCTCACTGTTGGTGCACATGTGAAAACAAATATCTGAATAAACATCCTGCAGAGCAGAGATGTATTTATTTAACTGTGAGTTTGTGGTGTCTCTATGTCTCTATATTTCATTTGTTGTTTAAGGCTTTTTTTTGTATGAAATACATACATATTATATGTTCATATTATAATTAAATATTTAAAAAATGCTTCACTTTGTGATACTGTTAATCTGTGGAATTCAGAGAGTTAATCTTTGTGATCCTGACAGACAGAACAGCCTTTGATGGTTCTGGGAGGAAGTGTTCTTAAATGACCCAGCTTTTTGAATGGTTGCCAACAAAGCGGGCTTAGCTCCGTGACTCGAATATAATGATTATATACAATGTGAGGCACTATCAGCGTCCAGATCTCCCCTCACCCCAGCTCTGACCCCACCTGAGGCTTCCTGGACATCATGTGACTTCCTCACTTCACTACCTCCACCTGCAGAGTTCACCTCTGAGATTTGAGCCAAAGTGGAACAATCCTCCGTTCTCCTGTGCACACAGACAGCAGGACACTTGGCTCTCTCTCTGTCTGCAACTTTTATTCTTTCCTCACTCCTTCATCCTCTAATCTAACTTTGTTTTTTAACTTGTCATCACTCCGTATTTCATACACTCTTTTATCTCCTCTGTTTCCTGACCTCCCTTTGCCTTTGTTTCCATCTCCTTCCCTTCATTTTTTACTTCCCGACTCTTCCACATTACCTCATAGCATCTCACAGGTTGCCACAGAGGAGTGGAGTTTTCCTCAGCTGCACCTTCGATGCGTGTGAACTGGAGCCTGTGATGTTGGGATCTTGCCATTAAGGTTAGAGAAGGAGGGGAGGCATGCAGGAGGATGATTAGACACTTCAAAAGGAGCACAGATGTGAGGAGTCTTCCACACCAGCAGATGCTGTGACACAGAAACATACACACACACGCACACGCACACACACAGACGGATTGCATTAATGTGAGAACTACACAGCTTGTGGTCGCAGGTCCTGCGAGCAGCAGGCAACATCTTTACATGTCAAGTATTACACCTAGATGCGTATCACCTCGGGCACTACACACACAGACACACACCTCTAAACAACCACTCGGGCCGCCCATAAAGGTTATTAACTCAGCATTGTGTGTTTGTGGAGTTAAAGAAAATACACCACAACTGCAGTAATGGATCTCATTATGCCGCTTCATACAAAATAACTTAATTGCTCTTTGTTTACACATGTGGTAAAGTCTTCCTTTCATGTACTCCGGGCTATGAGCACGACATATCATCAGAAGATATAAAAAGTCCATTAAAAAAAAAAATTAATGGCTCACTTGAGCATCACAAACAGGCTTTTTACGATGAAGGGTGTCGTGTTTGGGGTCATCGACCAGCCGGTGTATGACATCGGACTGTGTGGAGAGATTAAATGAATCTCAGCTGTATGAAATAGACTATTGTCAACGTCAGCGGATCACATTCAAATGTAGCATTAGGAGATTGTTTTGGTTCAGTGCTGTGGGTGACGTCTGTACATCTGGACTGGATTATTTTTTAAAGAGGCATCGACAACAATAATATCAACATAATAGCATTTTTGGCTCATTTTCAATGAGGTTTTGGGGTTATTTTTTTCCTCATTGTGTACAATCATTAGCCTGAACAGGAAATTAAAATTAAGTTCTTCCTCATTGGAACCAAACATGGATCATGGAAGGTCCAGGTTTGTATGGTTTGTATGGTTTAAAAAAAGAAAGATCAGAAAATGTACAAAAATCTTCACTTTACAAATCCTTATGCTCCACATGGAACCAAATACAATTCAACACTCACACTAGCGTAAATAGCAACAAAAACACCGCAAACAAATGAAATATTTCTGGAGGAGACAGACAATTTGTAGCAGTTTATCTGTGTTTCTTTGAAGTATCTGTTTCTGTCAGCCTGCCAGGAGTGCTTTAATAGATGTTCAAATTTGAAGAGGCTATTAGACGGAGTTCTAATGTGTTTAAAGAGATAAAGAGGGTCAAGTAGGTGTTTGAGGGTCTGTTAATTGACAGATTTCTACTTTTCTACTTTATAATCATGGCCAGTGTTTTTGGCTCAATCAAGCGACCTGCACCAAACATCATGTATACATCTGCTTTAATATACTCAAGTAAATATATATACATATATACTATACCCATACTGTCACCACCTCCTGTCTGGATCCACCATTTCCTTCAACTGTCTACACCACAGAAACCACAACATATGTAGAATTACAAAAGTATCACGCCAAGACATTTAAGTGCAGTAAGGATTGAAATTAAATTGGCTACAAATCAATACAAAATGTATATCAACGAGCACAAAACAGGATTTATCAACGCCTAATTTAGATTTAGATTAACTTTTTAATGCTGCTTTTGGACCTGTGGCTGATGTTTCAGACGTTTTGACAACCTTTAAGCACCATCTCCTACTCGCTGGTGCTTCAGTCTCTCACAAATCACTCATTAACCGACAACTTTGGGGTTCGAAAGTGAAAGTCTTTGGAGTTATAAAAACTAAACTAAACATAAACAATAAAACATAAACAGGAAACTGTAAAACGAGTTTCCCCAATGTGATTACCTTTTATTTCCGCATTGGAGGTGGAGCCTGTCGACGATGCTGTGTTACGTTTAGGGAAGTTGCACAACTTGGGAAAAAACGCCTTTTGTTTGACAGATTTCTGCTTTCTGTGTACTTTTACTACACTGAATTAAGCGCTACTTCTTTTCGTGTCAGTAGTGAAGTATGCTACTGTAGGCGTGGGATACTTTACACGCTGTTTTTATTTTAAAACTGTTCCGTGTCTTTGGTATGAATAACTCGGTAACTTCCGCTACTTACCTTCGTAACATCGGCTACAGTTTACGTCGTCAGTTGTCAGATTTCCTCGATCCTCAGGAGAGATGGAGGGAAGTGTGTGTGTCCATACGGAAGCCGAGTGGAGAAATGAGGTATACGCAACTCCACCTCAGGTAGGAATGCTATTTTTATTTATGTTTGCTGCAACTACACGTTATTTAAAATGTTTATATAGGGGTGTATCTGTGTGTGCTTATTCAGTCAGTTGTTTGGTCCATAAAGTGTCAAAATATGATGTAATGTGTAATTCTATTGTCATCATTCATATATTATTTTTCGATTTTATGCATTGAATATAAAAGCACACAAATGTCATGCTTAAACATTAGCTTTTCAGGGAATAAAAAGGTTATAGAAGGCCTAAATGCTTAAATATCCTACCCAAATAGATTATTTAAGCAAACACAATGTTTGTTTTTGAATTCTCACCATTTAAATATTGCATACAAGATTTTTTTTTTCATGTGACATGCAGTAATACTTCTTTCCAGGAGGTTTGAAGGGGTTGTTGCACAGAGGAAAAGTCCAACCATGGAGCTGCTGAATGACTGGGGAACCACTAACAGCACAGTGGGGGACCTCGTGGACATTTTGAGGAGCCTCAAGTTATTTGCTGCTGCTTCTCTTCTGCTCCCTGGTACTTTTCTACGAGTTTACTCAATGGTCAAATTAAAAAAGCTTTAGTGAACCAAATAAAAGAGTAACATCAGGTACAAAATTTTAGAGATGCCATAAATTATTAAGTTATAAATCTAGTCTCATCTTTTTAAACGCAGACACCGTGGGAGTAGTTGGCTCAGAGGAGACACAGATCCTTCCCTCAGCAGCAACACACTGTGAATTTCCAACAACACCACTGGATATGAAAGCAACACAGCTGATGTCGCCTGTCATCCCCGTTCAACCCCTGCAGACCTCTCCAAAGCTCAGAAGTCAAGATAAACAAGGTGGCGGCACTTTATGTTTTATAAAGTGTTCCTTAAATGTGTGTGTGTGTTTTGTTGTTGTTTTTTTGTACACACAACTCTCTGAATCTGCCTCCATTAAATTGTGATTTATTTATGATGTCCACTAGATGGCAGCAGTAAGGCTCAACGACTGAACTGAACGTTCCTGTTTTTCTGCAGGTTTCTACAGCTTCACATACGAAGAACTGATGGAGATTACTGGTAACTTTGACGACCGGCCCGTGTCAGGTGGTGGCGGCAGACTCGGAGAAGGAGGTTTTGGCACCGTGTATAAAGGCCTTATAAATGAAAAACCTGTGGCTGTGAAAAAGCTCACTCCAGTAAGAACGTCTGATCCCCCGCCAAAGCACAACCATGCTCGATATTGCAACCCTAACATATTGTGTTATTGTAGATGGAGGACATTTCAGTAGATGAGCTGCAGATTCAGTTTCAACAAGAAATTCAAACCCTGAAGGTGTAAGTTACATCATCCACACTCCCGTAAAAGACAAAGTGTAGTACTTTTTAAATATTTTTGATTGTCAAAAAAAATTACGTTTGTGTGGGACAAGGTGCTGTAGTAGGTCACATAGTAGTACCAGATCTTAGTTCATCTAGATTAAAAGAGGGCTGTTATTGGGAAAACACTGTATTACTGGTACTCTAATGGTAAATGTATATCTAATTGCAGTTTTGATTAATGAGAGTGGTTTTCTTCCACAGGCTGAAACATGAAAATCTGGTGGATTTGATTGGATTTTCCTGTGATGGACAACATCCATGTTTGGTTTATGCCTTCATGGCCAACGGTTCTTTGCTGGACCGTCTAGCGTGCCTAGTAAGTTCTATCTACAAAGCTGACTTGTTCATTTTAGTACTTGGAATAGTTTGAGGTTTTATTTTTGCTGTTGTTGATCTCATAGGACAATAGTCTTCCTCTGACCTGGAGACAGAGATGCTCCATAGCTGAAGGGACAGCGAGAGGCTTAGAATATTTGCACCGCAACCATCACGTCCACAGAGATGTGAAAAGGTCTCGGATGAAGTACACGAGTAAAGAACTAATGTGCTGATGCAGTAAAACGGGGTATTTTACAGTACATGTATTCTCTTCTCTTCCGTGCAGTGCGAATATTCTGTTAGATGAAACATTAATGGCCAAAATCTCCGACTTTGGCCTCACAAGAGCATCAACCAAAGGAACGTCAACAACCATGATGACAGAGAGGATTGTGGGTACTTGTGCATACATGGCACCTGAGGCTCTGAGAGGAAAGATCACACCAAAGTCAGATATCTTCAGCTTCGGAGTGGTACGAAAAATGCAGGACACACTTACTCACTGCATTTTGTGCAACATCTGCCTTTTTTTTACCCTTTTATAAAACTTGAGAAAACTTCACTGACAGCAGATGAACTGTGAATTTCCCCATTGCAGGAATAACATTTCACATTAGCAGCGACAGAGTTTTGTGAGTTTGAGCTCACAGTCTCTGTTTTCCACAGGTGCTTCTAGAAATATTGTCTGGACTCCCGCCAGCCAATGAGAACCGAGAGCCACAGTTTTTGGTAAGAAGCACAAAAGGGGCTTTTACCCTGTAGCTACTGAGCATCACTAAGATTCATAAGTAATGTGGTTGTTATTTCGTGGATATAAAGCCACGGGTGAGTATGAAAATACCTGAATGTGGCTCATACTCTGTAATTGTTTCATAAGTTGTAGATTTAGGGTATCAATAGAAAAGTCAAACCATATATATTCTAATAAACAAGTACTTGCTTTTTTGGTTTTCTCAGTCTTCTGACTTTTTTCTCACATAAAAAAATAGTTATATTCCCTGAAATAGCAATTTAAACTCACATTTGTGTCAAGCTAATTTAATTTAACAGGCAACTGAAAATGTTAAGCTTTTGCTCAGAGAGGTAATAATCTTGGAAGTCAAAACACGTTTGTATCTGGAGAAAATCTTTAAAAAGTAGAATCCACCAATGGGTTTCCTGCTTCTTTCTTTTCTAAGATGGAGTTCAGGTACGATATTGACGACGAAAGCGAGGATCTGACTCTGGAGGAATTCATAGACAAAAAGATGAGCGACTCGGAGCTGAGGCAGGTGGAGACCATCTACTCATTAGCTTGTAACTGCCTCAATGACAGGAAGGACAGACGGCCAGTCATCCAACAGGTGAGAAAGAAAATAACTGCAGTAACTCTATGTAAACAATTAATCAGGATTATTGTGATTAATCTTGGGCTCTGAAAAGGATTAAGTAATCACAATTATTGGAATTAATATAATAGGATTAAAAAATGTTACCATTTGCCAGCTCAAATAACACAAATGTTTTGTTCAGCGAATGTTTTTACATCTCTTTTTACAGGTTCTGTCAGAAATTGAAGGCGTCGTTGAAAGCATTTCAACAACTTTTCACACATAACGAAGGAAACTTCTGGAATGAACAGAAAAATATTGAAATGTAATTTTTTCTGATATTTTACAGGCGTTGTTTTTGCACTATTTTTGTATTTCATGTACTGTTTTGCAATACACCAATGTAATTTAAACACCACGCAGAAGAAGGGCGTTCGGTGGATTTACAGCCTTACAGCTAAAAGATCAACAGTTTGATACTTGTTGGTAACTGACCGTCTTTCAGTATGGAGTTGGTGAACTTTGGTATCCACCAACACAACTAGGTTATTTAATTTCTCTAAATTGACTGAGTATGAGTGTGAATGGCTGTTTATCTCTAAGCTCTATGTGTGATGGACTGATGCACGGGCCACAGATGGCTGCTGGGATTGGCTCCAGCTTCCCTCTGACTCGAAAGGGATTAAGATGTAGGAAATGAATGAATAATTTAATTATAAACATTGGAATTGGAATCGCTGTAAAATATGGTTAGAGAACTGAACATTATTTGTGTGTTTGTCTGGTATCCTCATTTTTCTTTCCAGAAATGCATTTTAATTAAAAAAAAGCAACAAAGTTGAACCTGGTTAATTTAAATATTTTTATTCTTTTAAAAGAAAGATTTGTAAGAAAAAAAGACCAACCATGATTATTACTATTATGACACTACGAACATAAAGGGATTTCCCTTTTTTTTTTGAAACATAAGGTGAGCTAAGTAGTTTGCCTAATGTTATTCAGCAGACCAGTGGCTGTGGCCACACACCGACAGAATGATCTAAACGACTCTTTCACCTTGCCTGGCTTTGTCTCTCTCCAGCGACAAGAGAGCGATGGTTTTTGTAGCTTCCTATTTCTGTGAATCTGAGAAATATTGATGTGTTATTTCTGGAAGCCCCTGTTTTTATTCCTCTGTGATCCTCAATGACACCAACAATCACCACAATAGACCAGACTGTTTCTTAATCAGAGAGCATCACACGGCTACAATATGTACACGTACAGCACTTGCATAGAAAAATAAGTTTCTCAGCAGATGATTTTTTCTTTTTTTCCATGTAAACCACAGTTATATCAAAAAAGGAATCATTTTGTTGTCATTTTTAAAAAAAGCACTGTTAAAATGAATCGACAAACGCAGGTGGAGATCTTTTAGGCTTTGGAGCACCTGGTTGTGCAAACGCTCGGACAATGGAGACATTAAATCGACAGGAATGGAAGTTAAGAAATTAAGCGTGTGAACTCAAAAGTGGGGGAATTTCATCATATTGGCGCAAGTTCACAGTCGCACTACTAGAATAATTTTCAGAGAGCTGGCACCAGTGTACAAACCTCAAACTTACTTGAAACATTGTCAATTTACCTTTGTCGACACCCTGACGTACGTACGTACACGTGCTTCCATTTGGCGAGCTACAAATGGAATCCCTGGTGTGTCTTGTTGCTCAGTTGTCCTTGGCGTGCATAGTTGGATCTCTGGGTGACAGGTAAGAATTTGAGGTCGTCCTATCCATCTAAACAAGCGTGTCAAATCTGATCCCCCCCCCCACGTGACAGGAATGTTCCAGTGTGGAACGTGCTTAGAGTGGAGGTGGTAGTGGTCAGATGCTGAGGTCGGTTTAATCTTCCTCCTCTCCCTCTACTGGGGGTCGGGTGATGCGGCGCCCACCCCTCTTCCCTGCCGGGCCTTTGGGTTTAGCGAAGGCTTGTTTGTGGGCGTGCTGCTTGGGATGCACTTCCTCGTACAGGAAATCACTAGTCAGCCCCTCACCGTCGTCAATCTCCAACTGGAAAGAGATGAAAACTGTTGCTTTACTGAAAACTAAAACCAATACAGTGTACAATGATTATACACAAAGTGCAACTCGCCATTGATTGAGTTGGACTGACTGCTCCATAGCTTTGACCTTGAATGTTTTTTTATATCATGACATGTATAAATGCTATACTTCAATGGGAATTCTTTCATTAAATACCTATAACACTGATAACTGCATATATAGCAACTATAATGGTTATTATATGGAAGTCTATAGAACACTGTTAAAATGCAGTCGGGTTAATGTAGTAGTCCCTGAATGCAGCAGTAGGCCCATCTGACTAGTGAATCCTGTCTTTTCATCAGTTTTGGACAGACATTATATTTTGATGATTTCATTTCAGGGCAAATATGAGCTTAGTGGGAAGCTGCACTCTGGGAAATGGTTAAAACATTTTCTATTTTTCTCATTTTCCAATAAGGTTTTTTTCCCACCATATCCATTGAGGTTAAATTATTCATACCTTCTTTTCAATCTCAATATGGAGATTATTTTCCACCATGTCCACCAACGGATTCTTGCAGCTAGAATACAGCATCCTCTCTTTGATACTACAGTTGTACCCAGGCATGGAGTAAATGAAGACTAGAAGACAGTAAAACAGCCAGTGATTGAAGCGAAGGTGACCTTTTCATTCAGATCAATATAAAAGAAGATAAGGAATCACGTGGGAGACTGTTCACCTGTGGACTCTAAGTAGTCGCCTTCATGGGAATGTTTGTAGAGGAAGAAGTGATAACGTGGAGAATCGTCAGGAATTCTCTTTGGCAGATCTTTAAGCTCTGTGGCCTCGGTGCTGCACAACCGAATGATTTCCTGCTCTGCGTCCAGTTGCTGTTGACAAAGCACATGAAGTGTTACAGTTAAGGTGTGATGTAATCACAGTCTTCCCTAAGGTGTGTCCTGATTGAACATTAGCTCGGTAGACATTCATTGGTTTAAACAGAACAAAATAAATCACTCAATGAGAACGCTTTGTGCCTGAGAACAAAGACGAACTGACACCCGTCTGCATGGGCAACACAACAACTTCTATTGTCTAAACCAATAATCTGATCTGAAGACAAAAACTCTTTTGATTTTTCTAACACACACACACACACACACACAATAAAATACCAGTTACTGTGTAAATGCAGGAAAACCAGCATATAATTGAATAAAAAAATAAAAATATGATCAACTATAAAAAAAAAAGGTCAAACAGTTTCTTTAGATATTTTGATCGTTTCTCTCACCAGTTGAACATAGTTAATTATTCCGTCCCGGAAACGTTCGAGGGCAGCAACAGCATCTCTGTGAAGAGGGAAGGCCACGCCCTGCAGAGTCTGCTGTTTGGTGTCCACACCGATGTCCGTCTGCACCTGAACACCATGAGAATACCACAGTTAATAGTAACGCAGCAGTACCAATGCAGGGGGTTGTAGACATAACTCCATTTCTAAAGCTTGATGTAGGACGTGTAAACATTAGAAGAGTCTGACTTATTTCTGGGAGCCATAATGAAGGCCAAAAAAAAAACAACACAAGAATGTAGCATAATCCAACGTATGACGTACAAACAACAAACAACAAAGCCATCTTTTGCGTGGAGTGCTAGGTGACAATGTATTTGTCCACTTGCCAACTAGTTACTGTGTGAAAATGTGTTTTTCTGGTGTACACTGGAATAATGGAACAAGAGCTTCTGAATAAATGTATTGGATATGGCGACGTAACCAACCAGGATGACATAAACTGGGGACTCCCTGTAATAGTATACCTGGTACTTTAAACACACACACTGCATGTCACCCTATTATAGTACCCACAGTGCTGTGCTGCTTAGTATAATACTGCTGTAGTATTAATGACCGTCATTAATACTACAGCTACAGAAAAAGCTAATACTTATGATATTATATGTTAGTAAAAAGTAATAACCTAAATACATGTAGCTAATCTTAAAATGCATGATATCATATCTTTTATCAGATGTTGTTTAACGTGTGTTTGTGCAACACTGTGAAAGAATTACACACACACACAAGTATTGCAATCGCTCTCTCCCGACTTCATCAAAGCAGAAGTCCAGGGAGGACACTGCCCTTTATATAACGATCCGTGCACTGAATAACTTTTCCATTATTTATATATATATATAAATATATTTATTTATTAATCAATCTGCATGTTATACAATAACCTGTGTAAAGGGTCTCGACGTTTAGATGAATTTTACATGAACATTGTTTGACAGCACACAGTGTCATATGAAAATGTCTTCTGTGTACACGTGCCATGCTAATTTCACGGGACATTTCTATCTGAGGTGTCAGGCTCTGGCATGAAATTCACAGCATAACTGTTCATGCTGAAGAATTACACTCTTAAACATTTGTGTCTATTTATACAACCCCGCTGCAGCAACAATCAAATGCTTAGCAAACACGACCCACACTCTGATGCAGGCAGCATGCACGACAGAAACCATTTCAGCTCTTTCACGCATCTGTTCAGTGAAAGGCAGGAAATCTCCAATTCCTGGAAATGACACATGACATCAAAGCTGTTTTTGTTTTTAATCCAAGCAGTGCAGATTAATACTATATAAACGGCCGCCTGAGTGGGAGAAGCACTGGGAGAAGCACTTCCTATTAGTTCTGCAGCTCATAACTGAGCAGACAGTGGAGAGGCTCCATCCAGGGCTGCACTTCCATATATGGTAAGAAAGAGATTCAAAGTAATGTGACAGACAATTCGAAAAAAGGGCACTTCTGCAAAGTTTTCTGAGAAAGAGTCAGGCATGTGAAGGGCAAACTAGGCTTTTTCAGTAGGTTTCAGTTGAGGGCCTTTCCATCAGAAGAGTAAACATTGCCACCACGATGTGATATCCAATTACACTGGTGTACCATGTCATTACCACCACAGCCATGTGATCCAACCTGTGCTCTATGCAGAAATATTACAAAGCATTCAAAGCTACCAAACCATATTTATTTGCCGTTATTTGCATTATTGCAGAGTCAACAAGACCCCATCAGAACAGAACCACACAGAGATCTTCTTTAACCACTTTAGCCGAGCTGCTGTACAAGCACAACACATTTACCCTTGTCAACATCCTGTCATTCTAATGCATCAGCATCCTCGCACTTTCACTGCTGCTGACCTTGTGCTGTTCAGGAGGATATTGGTCTGGCCTTCATTGTTAATCTGCTTCTACTGTTTCTGCTCAGCTCTCAAACACTCCCTCTCTAACTGAAGAGTATCTCGGCTTGTCCAAACGAATGAATTTGATTGGCCGATTAGCGTCACAAGAGGAGAACGACACTGCAGTTGTACCATAATGCATGGGCAACATGCAACAGTCAAAACAGTGAAAACGTCAGACAAAATTTAACAAACCATCATATTATATAGGTCATATTATCATATTACATTATCATATTATATCATATTATCATATTATATTATCATATTATATATTATATCATATTATATAGGTCCAGATAGTCCGGGGGGGCCTGGGTCCACATCCAAAGCGTGGCCCTTCTATTTGTGACCTCTGCCCTTTTTAATCTCTAAAGATGATTTTCAGCAGTTGTGAAACAAGGAGCAGGAAAACTGAGTCTTCATTTCAATCTGCCTAAAATGACAACTGCTAGATTGTGTCTCTGGTTCAAAAGATCAGTACACCATTTCCTCTAAAATGGTATGAGTGGAAATGACAGGAAGGTGGTAACAGGTACCTAACACGTCTGAGGGTGTGTATTTTTACCTCATTTAGTTTAAATTGTCTCAGTTCCTCTTCAGCTGCAGAGAGGGGCAGTGGTGCCGCCTGTGAGGTCAGATATTTCCTGTACCCACTGAGATTCAGATCATCCTAAAAAAAAAAAAAGACACAGTCACAAAGCAATTAACCACTGACACACAAACAATTTTCCCTGAAAGAACAGTGTGTAAAGGAGCAGTTACACAAACCTTTGTGGTTCCAAAAATTTCATCTTTGATGTGACTGCCTCCAAACTCCTTCTTCAGTGTGGCTCTTGTAGCAGCGTACAACATTTTATCACGCACCTGTTGAGAGAATATACGTAGTAATCACTGTCACTGATGAAACATTTTTGTTTTGGTGCAAACTTATAATTTAAAGGGCTGCAATATAGGGTCTTTGGCCTGTAGGGGGGCAACAAATGTATACATTTATATATACACATTTTGTTATAAAGTTCTCAAATAAACACATCTGAACATGTAATGACTGTGGTTTCTTCAGCACCTCTGAAAACTTGCAGCCAACAGACAAGCCTCAACCTGAATCACTGTTTTTTAGAGCCGAAGGAAAGGAATGTTTAATGCTACAGCTACTGCTTACACTCGAGAGCAAGTGACAGACAGAGAGAAAGCGAGTTATAATATACACCTTCAAAATGCTATGAATATCTTATTTTAACACGAGACAATGCATGCACCGCTTTTGTCATGAATATTTTAAATATGTTTCAAGTGGTTCTTCAAGTTTCCCTGAAAACCCAGTGACTGCAATTTAAAAACCAAACACTGGAAGAAGCTAAACTAAAACAGTGACAATAAAAAAATTTAAAATACGTAAACCTAAAAAATACTGCGAATGAAAACGAAATTACTTAACCTAGTAATATGTACTGTATCTAGGTTAGGTTTACAACTATAATATGTGTTGTGTTTGTGTAGTTACTAACTTTTCCAAATCATTTCCAATGCAGTGGGTTTAGAAGATGGCAATATAACGCCGGTTGCACACTCCTTAACCTTCAAGGATCAAATGTGGTCCCCTGTATATTTTTCCAGAGTCTCAGACCACACTCAGACCTGGTCCTTCATTAGTGTTCCCATCACATGCAGTCAGTTGTAAGTACAGGTTTCTTTGCTCTTAATCCACCCTTGATGTTTTCTATGGCCACATTACCCTATGAGGAGGTTGTGTGAGGGCAGATGTGTCGCAGATTTGTAAAAATATCTTTAAAAAAAATACATTTTTTGCTCATATCCAGACAGGCTGATAGTTTGTATCAACGCACAGTGTAGCAGAAGCCAAATTCAAGCTCATGTGGTCAGTAACAGCAGACTCCAGTGCAAACACATAACCCTGGAGTCTTCACTTTCAAAACTCTCCATTACAGGGCCTTAAAGAGAACTGAAATAGTACGGACATCACATAACGTGTATTTGTATGGCAGCAACACAGCACTGTCGACAACATCATTCAACTTTTTTTCTCCAAACAAGGATTCTTGCCTTGATGTGGTTAACTCCTCCCATCATTTACTCATAGCAGGAGGAGGAAAAATACAGTACTGTCTAGACAGATGTGCATTAAAGTCGGTAGTTTCCTTACAACAGCGATATCCGGTGACCAGGCCAGAAAGATCCACTCATAGCCCTGGTTGTTTGTAGAATCCAGGCGGTACAGAATGTAGCAGGGCACCTTCTCATCAATCAGGGGCAGCACCAAGGAATCATATTCCTGGTCCCACTTCTTTGATGCCTTCCTGGCTGTGCCCAGAGTGAGCTGCTCTGGAAAGTACACATTTGCCACAAGAGTTTTGTCATTGTCATGTCAGGCACAGTAGATGTTTGGTAGAAGTCACAGTTGAGAGTTTACAGAAGGTGTCAACGACCTCCACTACGTACCATCTTCAATGACAATCTTCAGGCATCGATATTCATCGCCGTTCCTGGCACTTGCGAATATGTCTTTCACATCATTTCCAGCTGCAATAAATGACAACAATCACTTAAAAACACCTCAGACGGCCCACGTGTTTCTAAATCAAAAATTAAATCCATTATGAAAACAGTTTTAATTTTTGTATTTAAGTTTTTTAGTCTATTAATAGTTATTTAACTGATCTTCATACAATAAAATTCCTCATTTTGTTGTGTTTCATTTACACTTTTTGAAAGTGAAACTCTTTAGGGATTTCATACAAAACATATCAAAAACAACAAAGTGATGGCCGTGATTTAAAATTTGTTGATAATATGATAGAACAATTATAATCTTGTACGAAACACAATTCACTCAACTCAACCTGACCGGATAAAGTGACAGATAACCAACCACAACACTTCAACTTGAATAAACAACACTGTGTTATTTCCTGTCCTTTATCTACTTAGAATAAGCTAATCCTAGGTAGATCAGTCACAGTGGCCTCCATTTTGGCTCTTTCGTTGTAAAACCCTGCTGAAATCCATATTCATTGTAGAACGGAACTCCTAATTCCTGGGTTGATCACATAGGAGCGTGAGCACCGACCGGTTTGCCACCGCAGCAGTTTACATGAGCAGTAGTATGAAAGCAGGCGTCGCCCATTCATCCATTTACACTGCTATAGCAGCGACAGGAGTACAAACTAATAGTTTTTTTACGCAAAGAGAAGAAGCAACAGTGATTTAGGTGAAAGACGATGAGTCGGAGACAGTGTCACGGACCTACAAGTGTCCACACCGCTGTATACACACATCACGGTGGCTCAGAGCTGATAAGGAGTGGCTAACACAAAGCTAGCTTCTCTTTGCGTTGGGTTTTTGCGGAATAGAGAAGTTGACCCGAAAAAACACTAATACTGAACAATAGCGCTCGTGTAAAACGATACACAAAACACAGAAAAAATGTGTACCTTGGATGCCCGTTTGGTGTGTCATGGTAGTCTTTCGGTGGGTGAAAGAGGTGCTGCTGTAGATGGTCAGTCGAAACCAGGGCAGAGAAGCAGGAAGTGGACTACACCGACAAGACCCGCCTCCGTGTGTCGTCATCACCAGAGACGTCACATGACAGAGAGTTTCCCTGAAATACATTGTTTGTTTGTTTTTTGTTCTCATAACATCTGGAAGAGCACCGCGGGGGCGTTAGAAGGGGAGTAGATACAGAAAAAGACCTAAATAAAACTGTTTCAATAAATAGCATTATACGCTATCAAATATACACACTAGTATTTATTCATCCATCTTTTAACCATTCTCTACTCTACATAAGCCTCTTTAGGGTCCTGTGGAGAACTGAGGTAAATCCTAGGAGTCATCAGATGAGGTTTTCCGATTGTATAACTGCTAATGATTAGCTCACACATCTCAGTACTTTAAAACAGTCATTTGTTTGTATAACATAACTACCTAATGGATTTGACATGAAATAAAATTTACATTTTAAGCCAAAACTCCATAGCAGGAAAAAAAAGTAATTAATTTTTACATTTTGGGAGACTTTTTTTGTTAATTTCAGAGGTGGACAAAATACATCTATCTAAATGGCTCAGTGTTAAAAATACATGTAAAACTTTTTGTACACAGTAAAAAGTAAAATGATACAGTTTCACCCCCTTTATGTACTGTACATTAAATACAAACAGGAAAAACGGTCTGTGGAAGAAACAGAAAAGCTGATTGTGCATTTGGTTTGTCCAAATGATCTTCTTGTTCTTCTTAAGCCTTTAGCTCCTCTTGGGTGCATAGGCTGTTGATGACCAACCTCCATTTCACTCTGTTCATTGCTTTTCTCTCGAGATATCCCCTGTTCAGCTAATTTTCGGACATTTCAGTCTCAATACTTCTTCTCCAGCTGTTCCTGGACCTTGTTTCCTTTCCCCTTGGGGGTTCCATTTCAGGGCTTGACGGATGATATTTGTGGCAGGTTTTCTAAGAGTGTGGCAAATCCAACTCCACTTTTTTCTGAATTTGTAAGTGAATGGGGTCTTGGTTTGTTTTTATCTACAGTACAGGTCCACATTGTTGACTTTGTCACCATGTGTTTAGTGTCCTTCTGAGGCAAGTGTTGATGAATGTTTGCAGCATGTGTGTTGTGTGTTTTGTTGTTCTCTAATCTGCAAAGGATACATTTGTACAAAGAGGTTTGTACAATATGTGTTTGATTTAATGTCCAAGGTTGAGCAGGCAGATGGCCTACAGAAAAAGCTCTTCTTCATCCTCCCTGTCTTGGGTCTTAGACAGCCTCTTTGAGGATCGGAGCCATAGTCTTGCAACATTTAGCAAATCCAGAGCAATTCAGCAGTAAATGTCTATTTTTTGTTTTGACGGTACAGTTACCTCTGTTACACACCTAGTAGTTGGAAGGACTATGTTTTCCACAGGTGAGGGCGTTTTCTCTGTCAATATGTATAACTTCTGCTGATCTGATTCAAAGCAGTGCTGCTACAGTTTTAATCTACAGCACTCCCTCTTACAGGCAGGGGGCAGGGGCAGCACCAAGGAATCAAACTCCTCGTCCCACTTCTTTGATGCCTTCCTGGCCTCACCCAGAGTGAGCTCTGGAAAGTACAAATTTGCCACAAGGGTTGTCATTGTCATTTTCTAATGCCAGGCACAGTAGATATTTGGTAGAAGTCGCAGTTAAGAGTTCATAGAAAAAGCAGTGTCAACGAACTCCACTACTCACTTCCATCTTCAGTGACGATCTTCAGGCATCGGTTTTCATCTCCGTTCCTGGCACTTGCAAATATGTCTTTCAAATCATTTCCCACTGCAATAAATGCACCAACAACCATCACATCCCTGTTGTGAACAAATTGCTTAAAAACACATAATGGTACACATGTATTTTTGACATATCCAAAATCAATAAATATTAAGTTAATTATGAAATCAAGTTATGTCTGTATTTTATAAGTCTGTTAAAAATTATGTAACTAATCTTAAACAAAATGTAATTCCTCATTTCGTTTGGTTTTAATGACACTTTGTAAAGGCTGTGTAAAACTGTTAATTTCAGTGGGATTCATTCTATACTTGATATTTTGGAATATACAGTAACGAACAAACAATCTTACTTATTTTCAGTGAAAGAAAAAAAAAGCCACTATAATTCCACCAACTCAACCTGACTCGACAATGCGACAGATAAAGTTAATTGTCCGTGTACTCGATGGTGTTAAGTCATTGTCATTAGACCCATTTCTGTCAACAGATTTTTGCGGAATACATAAGATGACTCGATAAAAACTAATACTTAGCACTGAGCAGTAGCGCTGGTGTGAAATGATACACAAAACACTGAAAAAATACTGTACCCTGTACGGCAGCCATGGTAGTCTTCCGATGGGTATGAGAGGTCCTAGTGTGGATGTTCAGGTGAATCTAGTGCAGATATGCAGGAAATGGACTACACCCACAATAACACCTCTACCCCAGCATTTCAAAACAGAGATTTTAAAAGCGTGGTCAAATCGGGACACTCCCAAACAGAAACATGCATTTTAGTGAATTGAACTTTAAAATGTAAAAGGTTTATGAGTTGTGTCTGACCGTTCACAGTAAGAGAAATTTAAGAATTAAAAAGACAGGGAGCATTTTACACCTGTTCTAGGGCCACAATTAGTCCCGGGGCCTAAATTAAAATAAACTTGAACTATTTTGTGTAAAAAAACAAAACAAACCCATGCTCCATAAGTTTTGGAATACCCTGTAAACTTTACATGTTACATAAATAAACATCTATTTTAAAACAGCACATCCTACAGTTAACAGTGGGTAGTTCGAGTTTACGTCAAGCTCAACCAAGTAAAGAAAACACCGGAAATGAACTAACAGCTGTCTTCAAAATAAGAGTTTGTATTTCTGTCTTTTGAAAAATATATGGCCTAATTGTTTTTGTTAAATCGATAAGAAATACAAAACAATAAACTAAATTATTATATTATTAGTATTTTTTATTTTGTAACATTGTCAATATATCAACACCGACAAAAACTCGATTTTTGTTTCGAAATGAAAAACATGGCGGAAATCTAATTTGCCTCTAAAGAGAAATACACACGCGCACATATCACACCAACGTGTTAGCCTCTGCACAGTGATGCTGTGTTGATTCTGGTTTGTAAACCTAGGTTTCATCAACCATCAACACCCTTTCCTATTACAACATTAGCAGGGTTCCGGTAACACACAGCACCGAATCCGTTACAGTTTACCTGATGTGGATGCGCTGACCCAGCACCGCCCGTTTGAGCCTGTGAGTCCTCCCGGTGCATGGACGGTCCAGGATAATGGCAGATGATTCGGGGATGTCTCTGTGATGCACGAACAACAGGTCGCATGGATAATCTCCACCTCTATCCTCTAGCGTCATCTTGTTTTCAGTATGATTATAGCTTCGTTGTCGGCCTGATGTGACAGTAGAGTCGTGCAGGGCTCCTGGTCCTGATACTGGTCCTGGCTGTTCACTGAGGAAGAAAACAGCTGTATGGAGGGGAAGGTGCGTAGATGATATCATGTATCACACTTCGTCACACAAATACTATCACGGTACAAACAGGCAGGCTGGTCGGCTGCGTTACGTTACTAATACGGTATAAACTGATAACCGCAGTAGATCTGGCTGTGTTTCTTCGGGATGCTCATGTGTGGCAGCAGGCATCAGTGTCGTCACATGTTATTAATGGTCGCCTGAACCATTTAACGTACATGACCATCTAAACACACTACAAACTGCATTGTCAATCGTAGGGCAAGTCAGCGTTTCATATCAGTATTGATCTGTGGAGATCTTTCAAAGACAAGAGTCAGAGTGAAACAAGATGATGATAATGTGCGATAATGACTTCACAGACCATACACACTTATTCTCCTGCTCTTTTTTTTTTACCATGCATTCCTTGTAACATTTACTTAAGAAAATATAGATATGACTTGTAAGTATACATGTAAAAATGCTTTATAATTTATTAGTAGCGAATACATCTGCCAAGCAAGTCTCTCAGGCCTTCAGTTTAATCTAGTAATCTAATCTAGTAAATTAACAAAACAAAAAACTTTTGTTTTCTCGGTGATACTTCTATTCACGATTGTACCAACTTAATATCACCCCCAGGTGGCGAAAATCAAGCTAGACGTAATCCTGTTGGAAATGTAATAGCCCTAAGTTTACACCACTGTGGCAGAACTATTTCTGAAGCTATGACACCGTTTCAAATTGTCACTGGGGAGTAAACAGTTTCCAAACAGAAGACTAACAGGAGCTAAGTTATGGTTGGGCAAACAAATTGGCTGCAATTTCAGACTCCAGGCAAGTACAGAAGTCAGTGAGTCCGCAACCTGATGGCAAAGGTTCTAAGAGAGGCTAAAGAGGCAACAGGATAAGATAAACACACTTCGTGGTTGCAGTTTACAAAAGTTGTGGATAATCCAGGTATGACAAGACCTCTGCTTGTTTGTGGAATGTTGAAATTTTTCAGATTGTTCTCTGAGACCTGAGACATGTTCATCTCATATACTGTTTGTCTACAAGTCTCTATGATAATGTTCCATAGGATTGGCCTTGATACTTACTGCAGAAACTGCACATACTACAAATAAGTACCTCATCTCACATAAATAGCTTTTAACTCATTTCTCTGCTAGAAGTGTTGGTCACAGTAACTGTCACAACAACTTTTTTTATTGGAACTAGTTTGTGACGGTACCAAAAATATTTTATCATCAGTCTTCATTTGCTGTACTTAGCAGTAAATGTGTGTCATACTTTCACTTTTTCTGTTTAATGAGCAGAAAAGTGTACCCTGTGTGTATAATAGTGGTAGTATCTTCTTCTAACTTCTTCTAACCTTTAAATTCTGTTACTGTTACGACTACTATTCACATTGGTGTATAACTAAGGTCAACCTGGTCTTATTATCCCATGCACTACATTATAAACCTGCCTGGATGATTTCCTTTTATGTGTTCACGTGTTTACTGTCTTGATGACTTTATCAGCTGCCGACATCTGATACCAACCCTTCGTCCTCTGCTTTCTCTTTCCATTCATTTGCTCTCTCAGGCATACTGTGGCTGCGGCCTCAGCAGGATGGGAATAGATGCCCATTTCCGTTACTACTTCCAGCATCCGTGGTCCCGTCTCATCGTGGCCTACCTCGTCACTTTCTTTAACTTCCTAATTTTTGCCGAGGACCCCGTCTCTCACAGTCAGACAGAGGCCCACATGATTGTGGTGGGAAACTGCTTCTCCTTTCTGTTCAACAAGTATCCAGGCCTCGGATGGAACATCCTGAAAGTACTGCTCTGGATACTGGCCATAATCGCTGGCATGTTAGCTGGGAAGTTTATATTCCACCGCCAGCTCTTTGGTAAGTCATGCGCACCACAAGGCAGTGGAATGTGCAGAGTAATGACTCTAATGATGAGGGAAGCCTTTTCAGTTTTTTCACTTTAAAAAAAAAAGTTATATTATTTACTTTCTGATATTGGCTGCCATTGATTTTTTTGTTAAATCTCTATTAGCATAATAATAATTTTATTCATCATCTAAGTCACTATCAAATTGGTCACATTGAATTATCAACATCATGTCAGCCACTGCTATCCATACAAATATATATATATATTCTTTCTTTTTGTCTGTCAATAATAGTTAGTTTTTAGGCACAATTTAAAGAACAGTATGTAAAACCTGCTTCTATTGTATACTTCTTAAATGTTGTTCATTATGTTTTAAATACTTTGAATTTGCTAATACAAAGTAACGAAGAGAGAATTTTATCACTGCATTTAACCGACCCACTAAACATTAGTAAAGTCTATACAATAGACTTTTTTATTTAAAACAATCACACAAAATGAGGTGACGGGCCAGATCCGGCCTACGGGCCTTGAGTTAGACATATGTAGTTTATAAGAAGTAGAGAAGAATGCTGCACTTATGAAAATCAATTTTCCTCCTGCACTTGCTCATCCCAGACAGATCGTCTGAGTCAAGAAGTACAGTCAGATGTATCTGTGAATTCAGTTACTTTAGCTTTATTCTAACAACTGAGTAAATGTTTCCTGTTGGACTAACACACACGTCATTCTCACTTGGTCCTTACAGTCTGCCTTATCATTAGATGAATAAGATCCTAATGATTCTAGCTCTATTTTTAGACCACTAAATGCACCAAAGACATGACACTCAGTAAATATAAAATCCTCTCTAAGAGGGCAAATGTATCTCATAGTACTTGCTTATGTCGTCCTTCTCAAGTTGCAGTCATTTGAGTATCAAGTAGTAACAAGATCACATGATGCTGCCATAGGAAGTAGGAGTATTGCTGCAGTAAAAAAGCCTGGAGATTTCTAGGAATAAGTTCGAGTGGGTGTTAGTGCATTATTTCTTTAATCACAAATAATTAATCATTAATAATTACAGTACCATTGTGATTAATGGATTAATTGATATGAAGAAAAAGGCCAAAATGACCATAAATCTATTCATTTACCAGAGCTGATGAGTCCTTTTTGTCTGCAGCCAAGCCATAAATAAGAAAATGAAGTGATGTGAGGAGCTGCCTACACAGGCAGGTGTAGTACTACTCTCCAGTACTGGCCTACTATTACTGGCTTTACTAAATTCAGTCTCCCTGAGGGGAGAGTCGTGTTGTCACCTCACATCTGTGATTTATTATCCACACATGTAGTTACAGTGGAGGAAAGCTCTGGGGAGACAGTAGTGGCTGCCGTCAGACTGTCCTCCAGCCTCCAGTAACACTACGGCAGTGCAACCCTGTGATGAATGGGAACGCTGATGTGAACGTATGATCAGACCCAGGCAACACTATAGCTCACATTGCATTCTGGGTTTTGTCCGGGGGCACAGTGCTCGGTGGGCTCCCTGAGGAGAGCAGTGTGTTTGTTGGGATGTTACAAATCAAAACAGCACCCAGTAAAACTGAGTGCTACATAAACTAATATGTGAACCGGGCCCAAAATGATGACTTAAGTAGAAAGAGT